TGCTTACTTTGTTTGTGACCTTGGGCAAGTTCTTTATCCCCACCGGCCCTGAGTTGTACCCTAATAATAATACTGACTTTACAAGCCCTAGTGTGAGGCCAGGGAGCCACAGAAAGTTTAGCACAGCTCCTGGACAAAAAAAAAAAAAAAAAAAAAAAAAAAAAAAAAGGAAAAAAATAAAAGGAAAAAGAAAAAGAAAAAAAAAAGAACCATTATTATGATGAATGTGTATACTGAAAAATATTTTTAGGCAATGCATACTGATTTTCAACATTTTGTTGACTAGTTTGCTCTGTAAGAGATAAAAATTCTATTTCAATATTTAGTAATACAAATTGTTCTCAATTGCCATCTCTGAGATTTTTGTACTGTTTTATTTTTGTAGCTCTTCTGGATCTTTAAATACATCTAACAGCAAAAGAATTAAATGAAAAAACTTTGGAATACATATTCAGAAATACAGTACGTAGATAATGATGTCTAGCAACACAGAAATCAGTTAACTGAATCTATCCTACTTTGAGATGTTTTTGCAGATTCTTACACTAGAACAAACCACCTGGCTCTGTGTCTAGCTGTTGCTTTTCTTTAGTCTCTTTTGTCGTGGCCCTTTGTTTCCGGCCCCTCTCCTCCTCCTTGGCTGTCGCAGTGCTTGCCTTCTGTTTTCTCTTGTTCTTTTGTCTCTGGTATAATTCCTTCTCATTCATTTTGCAAGCAGAATTCTCCCACACAGCACGAGCCAGGGCTGAGAGAATCGGTTGGAAAAGTGGTTGAGTTTCAGTTCCTCATTCAAGGTCGGTATGGCGAAATGCAGGAGCAGATCTTCTGCCTAAGTGGACCTTGGAAAGCCAGACCGAGAGCAGAGCACAGGTGAAGACAGACCCTTACCATTTCATCTCACTGCTATTATGGCAAACACCATTACTCTTGTGGCAATGTCACCGTGAGAGAAAGAGTTGAAAGTTACGTGATCACAGAATGGAGTATTAGGATGTGTTATAATTCTGAGTGTGGAGGAGGAAGCCTGGGAGAAATGCTGGGTTTCAGTGCTCTTCTTTTGACTAGGATCCAAAAGCAACAGCCCGCAGGGACACTGGTGTAGTTGGCACCCTGTCCCCTGGACCCCTTCTGAATTCCAGAGTTCCTGCTTCGTGGTTACGACATGATCTCTGTGAGTTGGAATGCTTGGGTTCAGCTCCAAACTTCCTCATAATTAGTGGAGTTCCTAGGACTATTTAGTCTGCTGTGCCTCAGTTTTCTCATCTGGGAAATGGAAATGGTAGCACACATCTTGGGGTGCTTAGGAGGATGAGATGATAATAACTCAGAGGCACCAATTGGAAAAGTGCGTCTCTTATCAACGTCAAAATTATTGTTCCTGTTGTTACTTTTCTGATTTTTTATTTACCAAGTTAGAAATCTTTGGTAATATCCGGGAGTTCTTAGTAGACCATTTAATTGATACTAGGAACATTTTCTAACGGAGATGTTTTCCTTTTTGGGAAGTAAGATTTCTTGTCTGACTGCTGGCCCCTCATTTTCAGATGTGTACCCTACTATGGTTTATCAAACCCCTGTCCTCCAGCATGCTAGATGGGTGTTCTATCACCAAGCTAATTCACAGGTTCTCCGTCCTCTTTTATTTTTATTTTTTGAGACAGGGTCTTGATATATTGCCCAGGCTGGTCTTGAACTCCTAGGCTCCAGTGCTTCTCCTGCCTCAGCCTCCTGAGCAGCAGGAGTTATAGGCATGCCGTTGTGCTTGCTGCGCTGAGCACACTGTGCTTTGATTACCGCTAATAAATCTTGGATATGCTTGAATTTAGAAATCATTACTAAGGTACCAATCCTGTAATTCATTCCACTGATCACATTTTGGAGCATGGTATGGCTACATTTTAAACTCGAGAACTAGGGATGCTTGTGTACACCTATAATGTCAGGTAATCAGGAGGCTGAGGCAGGAGGATGGCAAGTTGGAGGCCAGCCTGGGCAACTCAGCCATGCCTTGTCTAAATACTAAATAAATAAATGGGCTGGGGATGTGGCTCAGTGGTAGAGTGTGTCTGGTTCTATCTCTGGTACCATAAACACACTCATACTACACACATACACACACACACACACTCACACACTCACACACAGTGGATTCAGGCATTTATTAATACTAACATTTGGTCTTATGCTTTAGAAATATCTCTTTGGCTCTGCATATTTCTTTCTTTTTTTCTTCCTGTGACGACACTGCACTCCTAGTTACTTGGTACACGTGCATAGACTAATTATAAACCTGAGAATGTGTACTTTTAAAAAAAATGTAATTTCAAACATAGTTACCAATGCCTGAGAAGGAAAGAAATGTTCAGATTCCTTTGGTGAAAATGGAAGGATACAGGGACCAGGGCATCCTGTCTGAAAAAGTAGTTGTCACATTGATGCTTCTCTGGGAGACTGATTCAAAAACAAACCCTCAGTCACATGGAGCGCACCCCCGTGCTTCTGTTCCATTTTTATCTCACCAATCTCCCTTGCAAAACCGAGATTGTTCATAAATATTTTCCTTCCAAACGATGGGAAATAAGCCTGAGTAACTGGCTCTGTGATAAGGTTAAGTTAGGGGACTGCTGCTTATCTGAAACAATGCACACAAAAGCGATTGAGTCCCGAGTCCTGTGACAAACCCCCGTGGTGGCTGAGCGGTGCCCACCCCTCTTGTCCTCAGGCTTTCCGGAGAGTGGCAAAGGCCAGCCAGTGTAGGACATTTTCAAGTCCTTTCCCCACCCCTCTGAGTTGCTAAGTGTCACACAGAAAAGGGTTTCTTTTGCAAGAATCTAACCCTCACGCGTCCTGTGTTTACCCGGCCCGGCCTTACAGTGTTTAATAGAACCAGATGGACACAGCCTGTCCACTCATTCCATCCCCACAGATTTGACCTCCTTGCGTGGACACTATTAAAAGATTTTCCTGTTACTGAAAATTTCCATTGCATCAAATAGTAAATATTAGCAACGTTCCTCTACAGGGAAAATGATATAAGGAGTGGGCTCAGCTTGCGTTGACCTCAGGCACAGGGTGCAGTTAGGTATGCAGTGCTTATGTAACTCTGCTGACTCACAAAGCCCAGTGGTACTTGGAGCAAAGCTCTAGGGGCAGACACTTTCCCAGCAGCTCCTGCAGAAAGTGTTTGGCTTCGTGCAAAGCCATAGATGGACGCTTTGTTTGGCTCTGTTGCCTGAGTACCAAGGTGCTTGTTGTGAAAGGTGCCAAGGAGAAGAAAGCCTACCTTGAAGTATGGTAGGATGAGGGATGATGGGAAGGAAAGGGTCACAAGGTGCCCAGATCATTCTGTGTCATGTTGTTTACTTCTACAACTGATGAACACAAAGTTTCCTTTCTTTTGCTCTTGTTTTTTTTTTTTTTTTTTGTACTCTGCAGGCCAAAGGATGCTCATAGGAAGCTTAAAGCTGTGGTGGAAGGGCTAAAAACAACTTGAGGATCAAGATCCTAAAAAAATGATTTTAACTGCTACCTTCTTTTTTCCTGAAAGTTGCAAAGAGGATGCTTAAAAGGGCAACTCTGAGGAAGATGATTCTAGATACAGAGGACTCGTGTTAGCTTCCCATCACTGTGCAGATATAGGAGGGTCTACAATTTAAAGGGAGAAAGATTTACTTTAGAGGTTCCAGATCTTGGTCATTTGTCATGTGGCATTTGGGCCTGTGGTGAAGCAGAACATTGTGGTGGGAGTATGTGGTAGAGAGAACCTGTTTACCCATGATGCCTTTGAAGTGTGCTCCCCTGATTCACTTCCTCCCACTGGCACTTCAACCTGAAGGCTTTAGTACCTCCCAAGAGCCTTCAGCACAGGAATTTTGGGAAATCATTTAATATCAAACTGCAACAGCACCTGCCTGGCAAGCATGAGATTGTGAGTTTGATTCTAGATACCACCCCCCACACCCCCAAATCAAATACTAAATGGATTAGGAAGGTATATTAGGGCCCAACAGTTGACCGACTGGATAAAATTAAACTTTTACTATTTTACTTGAACATACTTTAAAAACAATTTGAACAAATATTACAAAATAGTTCGTGATCAGTGATGGTCAAGCAATATGGATGTATGTAAAGTAAAAAAGCCAGAATCCCCCTCTTCCTTCTATACGGACAAATGCTGCTATGTGCTATCTGTTCAGAATTTTCAAAACACTGTGCTTTGGGTAGGGAGCTAATTATGTGCTATCCTGAAATAATTTTCTACTTAATGCTTTATGCAAATCTTTTTACAATTTGAAAAAATAGTCACTGTTTTTATTCTTCCCTTAGAGGGATAGTTATTTTAAACAAAGTAAAGTGGAAAATCATACATTTGATGTATGCAGAATACTTCTCTTGGTGTGATACACTTGCCAATATGCTTTTCAAGTTGCTTGTAAATTGTGACCAACTAATGTTTCACTTATAAGATAAGACAGGAACAGATGAGAAGCTCAGAGCTATGTCTCAGATGGAAAAAAAGATTTCATAGCAGTATGGTTAATATAATTCCAATTACTTAAAAGGTATGTGTGTACACAGAAATCAGTCTACGCACAAACACTAAAATACTAATAACCATTAAGAGTGCAAATGTTTTTTTCTCATATTTCTATTTTCAATAATGAACTTTTATTTTTAAAATTAGTTTAAATAATTTTAATATAAAAATTTTAATGTAGCTGATGAAAAAGTTTGTGTTTAAATGCTATAGAAAGTAAGCTTATTTGAATTAGCTTTTAGTCCTTTTTTGTCTTTCTTTTTTTTGGTACCAGGGATCGAACTCATGACCTTGGGCTTGCCAGGCAGAATTTAGCAAGCACTGCTGAGCTAACTCCCTGGCCCTCTGGTCCCTTTTTTTCTGATTTTTTTTAACTTAAGGAATTAGATTTAAATTTTCTCATTAAGAGAAGTTAATCTTCAGCATCATTAGAAGAGTTGATCAGGAAATGAGACAAAAATCAGGAGAGCATATTCCTTTATTACATATATGAAATATAAAAAACAAATTAACAAAGCAATATATATATATTTATATATATTTTGCAAGTCCACAGGACCTCAGGGGGGAAAACACGTTCTGTATGTGAATTTAATCTTATGGCACTGTGGTTCACGTCTTGTATATTCAAGTATGAAAGAATCTATATAGAGTGGTTATGCCTGGGTGCAAAAAATAAGAAATAATGAGAAACTGCAATTTGGTGAACTATCACATACATTGTGTTAAAATTAATGGGTATATATAGTGACCATTACTGTTAATAAAGACAAAGGAGAAAACTGCTTTGATGTTTAGGTTTAAATACTAAACATAAAAAACATAACACATTCTGTGTCTACAATAATTTTTGAAATGTATACAAGTGCATTGCAAATAAATGAGCTTTTTAAGAAGTTCAGGTCCTCCTTTCCTTTATGCGAGCATACCTCTTCTACACTTCGGGTTCCTTTCCCTTATTTTAAAGTCTCTTTTTTTAGTTTTTAAAACAGTTTCATGGGGGCCAGGACTGTGGAATCTAACCTCTAGCCCGAAGCTGAGACTTCATGGGAATATAGTCTTCTTTTAGGTTTTGTCCTCTGAGGGTTCAGAGTTAAACAGAACAGCTTCCTTTATATGGTCATTTTTGTCCGTGGGCAGTGGCAGTGCTGTGTCTCAGTAGGTTTTCTTACACACACCTCTTTCTTTTCTTCCTGTCAGCAGCAGTCTCCAAATCTGTACAACACGACTGTTAGGTAGTAAAGTGCTTTATACAAGGAAATACTATACACGCGTGGAGAGTCCCACTTCACACCCCACAGGTCCCATTTCAGACACAACACCCAAGGGAAGGCTCTTTTCAAGAAACACCTTTCCTGATGGTAGGGTTGGGGATCTCTTAAAATCTCATTAATGACTTTAAGTAGCCTCAAAGGTAAGTAACATAGCCAAAGCTGGAGGAAGGAGTCCTTGTGAGCGGTGCTGCCCTCAATGGATTGCTGCTAAGGATCACGCTGCTATGAAAATCTCCCTAATAATCACGACCTTCAGGATCAGTTCCATAGAAAACATATCAGTGTAGGGTTTCCCGTTTCTCTTTCTGGAGCAAAACTGAATTTAAACACGGTTCCAGAACAGATTGGTACAACATTTCTTTACAGTTTGGCACTTACACAAAACACTTCCAGTTGTATTTTTGAGGTCTCTTTTTCATTAAGCTGGTGTTGTGTACACAGAGAAGTGTCATTGTGTGCGATACCCCTCGACTGCTATTTGCACTCTCTTTTTAAAATATCCATGACTTTTCTTCCAAGAGATGGCTTCCAGTGTTGGACAAAGCTTTTCATATTCACTATTAATTTGCCTGTTCTTACATCCTCGTGCCCAGCTACCAGGTACTCCAAACCTAAAAGAGAACACAGTTAGCGGGTATATTTAGTAGGAGAGTTTTTTCCTTCTTTCTTTTTGGTCTGTAAGAGACAGGGTTTCACTATGCAGTTCTGGCTGGCCTTGAACTCACTTTATAGACTAGGCTGGCCTGGAATTTACAGCAGTCCTCTTGCCTCAGCCTCCCGAATGTTGGGATTACAGGCGTGAGCCATCACAGCCTAATATTAGACTTTTTTGAAGGGGGAGATCTGCATTAGTAGTTGCATATATTCATGGTGCCTAATTTTATATGTACACAGTTGAGACAAGTGTACTAGACAATACCGCATTTATGGTGAAATATGTGTTATTATTATTTTTTTTAATCAGTGAGGAAACTTAGCTCAACAAGGTTAGTAAACCTGTTCAGTGTTGCCTGTTGATTGGCAGCACCCTGACTCAAAATCAGGTCTGCCTGACCCTAAGACTTTCACTGTGTATTAGGCTACCCTGTGCTTCACTCTCTATGGAAAAGAAGTGAGCGCTCCCAGGACACAAAACACACTGTGATAAATCAGTATTCAGGAGACTCACTGTGCGTGGTAGACAGAAAGAAGGATTTTATAAAAGTGAAGCAACTGGGGCTGGGGATTTAGCTCAGTGGCATAAGCACCTGCCTTGCAAGGAGGCGGTCATGAGTTCGATCCCTGGTACCGATAAAAAGGAAAAAGACAAAAAAACAAAACAAAACAAAACAAAACAGTGAAGCAACTGCTTGGAAAAACATATTGGAAGACAGCAAAAGATTATACCAAATAACACATACTCCCTGTATAAAATTAATATGTTTTTAGATGTAGGATGTTAGGGATACATTAAAAAAATGTTGAGATTTGGCCAGACCTAGTGCTGTATTTATATTTCAAAAGTCTTTTCAGGCTTCAAACAAAAATTTTTGATTTTTCAAATACATAATCACACACACACACACACACACACACACACACACACGAGTCAGACAGTTTTCACTGCTTCCTGAGGTCAATGAGGTGACTCCTGTGTGGACCACCCACATTCTGTCTTCTGATGGGACTGGACGTGAGGCAGAAGACAGTGTTTCTAACAGAAGCTAACCAAAGTGTTTACCATGACTCAGTCACACCTTTCTTTACAGAGTAGAGGGGACAGAGGAACAAGCTAAACAGCACATGGAGGAACTGTCCACGCACAGGAGGCTGGAGAATCCACAGGCCATTGCCTGCTTTCTTCAACAAGTCCTCAAGAATGAGACTAAGTCGGAATAAAAGGGACTTGAGGTTCTGGAAAACCAGATACAAGGTGTGATTTTGGATTGAATGACATCAAGGACAAATCATAAGGATCAGTTGGGAAATAGGAAGAGGGTCGGGGCTCTTATTAGCACTTAATATTTTTATATTTTATATTAGGTCACACGAAAACTAAAATGGAAGGTTAAGCTTATTACTGAAGAAAGTAGGCTGCAGAATGGAACCTGTGTACACAGAGAAGGATCTGGAAGGATGCATACTACGATAGTAACAGAGATGAGACTGGGCGTGAGAGAGAAATGTGAAATTTAGATATTTTCCCTTTCTGCAGTGTACTTGTGTTTTATTTTTTTGTCTTTTTGAAACAGGGTCTTGGCCTGCAGTTCAGGCTGGTCTTGAGCTTACTTTGTAGCCAAGGCTGGCCTTGAACTCGAAATGATTCTGCCTCAGCCCCCCCGAGTGCTGGGATTATAGGCATGTGCCACCACTCCTGTCTGTATTTCTATTTTATTACTTTAACGAAACAAAATGATTATTAACAAGATTAGTAAACAAAAGCAAATTTAAAAATACCTGTCATATTTTCAAAGAAGAGAAAAAGGAAAATGAAGCATTAGAAAAAATGTTTGACATAATAACACTGGAGTACACAATGTGAGAAGGATTATAAGGTAATTACATTCTGTAAAGGGTCACTTTCTCTTCTGCAGAAGAGTCCTAGCATTAACAGACTAGTTAAAAACAGTCTAGATATTGTTCATCTCATACCTAATATAATAAGATCTTCTTTTAAAAAATACAATTAAATGCTTGACATAGTGTGCAGCCTATAACCCCAGCACTTGGAGGCTGAGGCAGGAGGATCACTGCAAGTTTGAGGTCAGTCTGGGCTACCCAATGAGCTGAAGGCCAGCCTGAACTGCATAGTAGAACTTGCCTCAAGAAACAAACCAAAGAACAATCTTTAAAAAAAGCATACCAATTTAAATTAAGTGTACCAATTTAAACAAATTTACTTTGAAACTATAGGTAAAACAAATACTACAGGAGTTTGCCATTAATTTAAGTATAAATGTATAAATGTAAATTAAATGAACATAAATGATACTGAATAAATCCGTAAGTTGTGGAGCAGCATTACACCAAAAATTAACATGCAAAGCAGCATTTTCTTTACATCTCTTATCAGCATTTACATTTAGTTTCCCTCTCTATGATTTGACATCTACTCTGCTTCATGTTGGAGGGCACACAGTTTAACGTGTATGCATGGAGAAAGAAAATATTTTTGTGCTAGCCTTTCACTCTAAAACACATGACTGATGTGTGAGTCAGCGTGAGCATGAATTAAGAAGGCACGAATTCTCAGGGTTACCCAATTCGATGGCTTCTTGTCAAAAGTAGGGACAGAAGCACAAATATATGTAAGGTTTCAGGATTTTCTTATCATTTCCTTTGGCTTTGGCTATTGAACTTGTACCAATGGACAAGAGAAATAAAATGAAGGAATATCTGGTTTTGCTTTGGCAGGTTCCAGTTTTTGTTTTTTCAAAGCAAGTAAACATGTTTTCAAGAATTTTTTGAATAATTGCACTTATGTTTTCAATTGTGATGAACTCAGTCGATTCTTTGGCCCTGGCAGGAACCAGATTAGGAAGAATAGTTCACTTCCTGGAGGAGGCTCAGACGGTCAAAGCTTTTGTTTTTAATGTCTTACTGAGAAACTGTACAGACTTCTTTTTTTTCCTTGTGCCAAGATAGTAGAAAAATGCTTATTAAAAAAAAGCCCCTGCGCACCAACACTGGGCAATAGAAACCTAATGATTTTTAGTTTCCTGTACTCAAAATCCAAGATTCTCATTACGTCAGTGTATTCTTTGGAACTATTTTTTCAGGATTTAAAATTATCTTTTTTTTTCTTTTTAAATTAAAATTTAAATAAATCACTGAAGGGCCAGAAAAAGATAGTGAGAAATTAGTTAAGAAGGGAGAAAAATTAAAACCTTTGTACCGCTGCTTAGGTTGCCAGGATTGAGAGGATATTTTGTTGCTAGTTTCTCTGTTGTCTGTTTCTTTCAAATGTCTGAATCAAAGACCACAGAGGACTTCTTATTAATGGGACTGTGGTTTCTTAGCTTGTATGCAGAAGAATTATATGCAGAATACGCATTATGTACCTGCTTTGATAGTGCCACTAAGAGGCAGGTGGTAACTTTGATCAGGAAAACATAAGCAGGTGTAGGCTTTTTCAGAATTATTGTTTGTTTTAATAGAACTTACTGTCTGAGTGTTATGTTACCATTATCTGGGCAATGAAGATACTATGATCAAAAATCTAAATCCTGGCCTCAAATTTCATGAGAGGGGCAGAAAGGTAAGTAGCCTATTCCAACTTAAAAAAAAGAAAAAGAAGTAACTTTTTCCACATACAGAGCATGTACCTGCACTTACTCACTGGCTTGTCTCTATCTGTGCCTTTTAAGGATCAAATATAATTTCTCAAGTTTTGCTAAAATTCTGTTTACTTTTTATTTTTTGTTGCTGTTTCTAACTTGAAACCGGAGTGAACATTTAATGAAAAACAACACGATGAGAACTTGAGAGTTGTTTTCTATCCAGGAGAAACAGATGCTTCTCATGCAATAGTAAAAATGAATTCAATATTATTTGCACAGATGGAATTTTGCATTTGAGCTTCCTTTGGGAACAGGTTCCAGTGTAACACGACCTAGCTTTCAGATAACATGCTAGCTAGCAGCAGATAAATTCATGAAAGTCCTTTCTACGTGGCTGGCACCTGGAACCAATCTGAGACTTTCCTTTTAGGATGGAAAGTATTATATTTGCTAGATTTGAAATATATTACCGTTAAAGAGTACACGGAAGAGAAATAATTTTTTGATATCAGTGCAAACAATACCGTTTGGATTTTCTCCAGAATTCAGATGGTGAAAAGAAGATGCCTCCTTTCTGAGTTCATTTAGATTGTGGTCTGATTATGTAAGACAACAGCGAATCAGCAGAGCCAAGGTAGCTATGTACACAGGAAAGTTGAATGCTCACCGGGATTGAGGATCGGACAGGTGCAGCCTCTGTTCGTCCATGATTCTGGATATAATGTCCTCTTTCCACGTAAAATCTTTAATTTGGTAGATTTTAAGACTTTTTTAATCTTCACGTTGACCTCAGCATGAGAACCTTTATCATGAGCTGATAAAATCTTTATCTTTAGCACTGTAACAACATAATTCCAGAAATCAAAGTACATACATTTCCGCACTTGAACAACTTAAATATGCATTTCAGAATATATCAGAAAAGTGAACTGTTAATGACCAGAATGTGCAACTGCTTTAAAAAATCATTAGGCAACACAGCTGTTTGCAGTCTCACTGTTTGAATGTCCACTTTATGTGCTTTAATCCTGTAACTTGAGCAGCTATTTCTAAGATGACAATATGTAACCTATTGACTAGTGATTTCTTACTGTTTTTTTGAAATTCTGTGTTACATATACCCTTATACTGTTTTTTTTCCTCCTTTAAATAAAATAAAAAAATCATTAGGCTCATTCATCTTTTGTGCTGGCTTCATCTCATTTATCTATGTGAACTATTTCATTTCTCTTGAGCTATTTCAACCCCTATCTTTCATATCACTATGCTACGAGGCTATCAGCCATATACAATCTTAAATACAATCTGCAAATGTAATCTTAAATCTATTCCTCTATCAACTTTAATATATAGAAGATATAGGAAGCATGATTTTGGCCCTGGTTTTTATTTATATTTTGACTGTATGATACTTTTACAGTTGATTGCATATAATGGGATGGCAGAGACCAATATGTCACAGCTAGAAGATATTTTCCACACCCTAATGAGGTTGTGTAATGTATCCTTTCATTTGGAGCCTAAATTATACATACTTATGAGTACCACACAGGATTTCAATATATGTATAGAACTGGTAATATTCAAATCAGACTAAGTAGATGGATGTGGCCGGGGCCTAAGTAATGGGGTAAGAAGGAATGGGAAAGAAAGTAGACCTAAGGGACCTTGGGTGCAGTTTTCGGTATCATTAAGTGAGTTTTGACTGACTTATCTACATCCTGATGGAGGTCTGTGTGTAATGAGCAAGCTCTATTTGGCTCATCTCATATTCCAAGAAATCTGTGGCCCTAGAGCTGTTGTCATAAAACCATCGAAGTTTAGACTTCTAAGTGGTCTTAAGGACTCATGTGGTCTTGAACTTTTAAATTTAAATGTACTGCCCATGGTCACGAGAATGGTTGAGAAGAGGTAAAGTTTGGACCGGAACCTAGTGAGATGAATGCATGAAGGTGGGCCTCACAGTGTCTGGCCCAGGGCTCTTGCTCAGAAAATGATCCCTATCATTAGTCCACTATCCCATAATCTCAGAGAGAGCAGGGCCTTGTCTCTGTGCTACGGCTGCTCAGGAGTATTTGATAGTGGAATAAACAAATCAAATGCTTTTTTCCTCATTAAACCAGGGAATGGAGAGAGAGTACCCATTTTCCCCCCAAGTCTTTAGTTGTAACGCACTTAACGAAAGTGTTTCATTGCATCATTAAAAATGTTCAAGTTTTTTAGAATAGAAAATTAACACAGTTTATTGAAAGATTGTTGTTTTCGGGAGAGCTGCCTCTGTGTGATAATGAGAACCAGCTGATATTTTCCCTGAGCTAATTTAGGGCTAACTTACCATATTTCTTGCTTTTGACAGTAAATACATTGCCTATGAGCTGCTTTTCTTTTATCGGGCATGGTACATTGCAAAAGTTTCCTTATTTTAGTCAAGTTAAAGGTGAAGCGATAGAAGTGTGTATATAATTGTAGCTAAGATTTATGTGATATTTATTTTGATATTTTATGAGATTAAATACATTGTTATCAAGAACCTAAACACTGTACAGGACTTGGTTTCAGAAATCACAATTTACAATTTCCTCTTCATTTAAAAAAAAATTTCCTCTTCATTCTAATGCATATTTCAGGCTATATAAACTATGAAGCACTAAAAAGCCTCCAGCACTAGTTAAGAATGTGTTACCGAGATAAGCTATCTTAGTATATTTAATGGTCAGTAAAAGCCATTCCGAAGTTGAAAGTAGCAATAGTCTCTACCCAGGGCGGTACCATTTCCTTCTTCTATATGATGTGTTTTCCTGGCGTTTGCAAGGTAGAGAGGTCTAAGGAGTCAGAGAGGCTGGGGAGGGGACAGGCGCTCAGCTGATCTCAGCTCTCATGCTGACACGAGGTCCTCTCCCTCTTCCCCGATGTCTAGTGGGTGCCAGGCAGTGTGCTAATGTCACCCTTTAGGCCTCCTGTTTTCTGAAAACCTCCCTGTCTTTAGTCTGAATAGGGTCTCAGAAGCGTTTGAGGATTCCAGACTCACCGTATGTATATTTCATTCCACAGAATGCCTTGGAGTTTTCTAATACTTGTTCCTTGCATTCACATTTACCTACAAAAAAGAAATGGAAAGTTGTGTTAGTTCTAGAGAGAAGAGAGGGAGAGAGCAAGAGAAAGAGGAAGAGGAAGAGAAGAGAGAGCAGTGAATCCAGCTAACCCACGCTTGAAGCCTTGAATGTTCATACAAGGTAATAGACATGTGCTAAGCAACCATGAAAGCAACCATTCGAAGACGTGCAGCTTCTTTCTGACCTGAATTAGTCATCAGTCCCAACTATACCTACCTAACTTGGTAGATGCAGTTAGGAAAGAGCAGATGACTTACAGAGAAAAAAACTGTCTTTTTGCAGTTCACATTCATGAAAACAAAAGTCAGAAGATGATTATATAGCGTGGCGATGATGGTGTCACCCATTGACGAAGAAGTACTGATTGGCACCCATGATGTGTCAGGCACACTGCTGCACCCTTCAGACCCATAAAGGCGAGCAGGACACCACCCTTGCCTCAGCTTTATGATTCTGTAAAGTAAATAAAGCTAGTGTCTAAAAAGTTCTACAATCGTCTGAGATGGCTACGTCACGCTTGAGTGAGAGGGTCCCACGTATGGGAAGACAGGAAGATTTCTGGCTGAAGAGGGATTGGAGCTTTGAAACTCTGAAACTTTGAAACAGTAGAATGAATTTTTCTTCCTATAGTTGAAATTATGTATTAAAATTATTGTTTTTTTTTTTTGTACCAGGGATCGAACTCTGACCTTGCATTTGCCAAGCAGGCACTTAAGCCTCTGAGCTAAACCTTGGTCCTGTATTAAAATTATTAAGTGCAAGAGTTTTACCAGAACCTGTTAAAACTTTCAAAATGCCTTTGTACATTGATCATACGTAGCATTTCCCATACTCGTTTATATGTTTCCTCTAGAATGTTCCTTGAGGACAGCGGTTATGTTTTATTCAACTTTATTTTTCTGGGATCCAGAATGGATATGATTTTCATGTTTATGGATTTAATGATTAGAGGTAATCTTTACCCTTTCCTCTTTGGTCTTCTCCGGCTCTCATACCCTGCACTTCATAAGCACTGTGTGGTGAACACTTACTGAGGGACCCTCATGCCAGGCTGACAGATGTGCTTCAATTTTATTTTGTGTGTGTGGCGATGGGGTTTGAACCTATGGCCTGCTGCGTGCCAGGCAAGTGCTCTACCACCGAGCCACACTGTTCGATTTCTCAGTTACTTACTTATTACGACTCTAACTTTGCTAGGAATACAGAGACGGAAGAACGAGCAGAGAGAAATGTATGAATGGCCGAGAGTGTCCGTGGAAGGGTGAGTGGCCCTGTGTATTCCAGGTGTGGAGTGAACAGGACGGGTGGAGGCGGGCAAGATGTAGAACCTTAACTAAGATGCAATTAGAGCCTGACTTGACTTCGTTAGATGATGGGGGATTTTTCAAAGCTATCGGTTTATTAAAGCTATATGAATTAAAACATACACATATACTATATTAATAAATTCTGTTGTAACAACAGCAACAGTAATTAGAGTGCCAACAGTAAGTCATAAAGGATACGTGGACCTTTATCCAAATAATCTCATTTAGCATTTATGAGGACATAGGCATTATTAACAGATTTAAAAATGAAGATCAAAATATTAATTAGCTCATCCAAGGCAACTCAGCTAACCAGGATGAAAGCTGGATTTTAGGTCTCAGTCTGGGAGAGTGGGAAGCCCTAATCTTTCACTATAATGTTCCTCTAAATTATATGTAATGTGAGTCTAACAAGACAGGTAGCCATGGGTCAAAAAAGGTGTGGTGGTAGACACCTGTAATTCTAGCATTCTGGGAGGCTGAGGCAGGAGGATCATAAGTTCAAACCCACCTTGGACAACTTGGCAACTTAGCAAATTAATGAGACTCTGTCTCTAAATAAAAAAGTAGAAAAGGAGTAGAGATAATGTTTAGTGTGAAGGCCCTGGCTTCAAGCTCTAGCACTGAAAAAAAAAAATCAAGGGATACTGAGAGTTTGGCTTTGCAAACCTTTTCAAAGGATTGGACGAGAGCAAGAGAACAGAAATTATAAAAACACCTATCTACAGATCTAGATTATGGTACAGTGCCTGCCTGGCAAGCACAAGCCCTTGAGTTCAATTTTCAGCACCAAAAGAAAACAAACAAGAAACACCATCCTGAGAATGAAGTTTCAGCTAAGGCCCAGGATGGTGTCACTAACAGAGATTGGGCCCTTAGGAGGGGAGCTTTTCAAGTGTCTGTAAGGGTTGGCGGTGGCAATCAATTCTCTAACTTCCGTCCTGCAAGGATATGGAGCAGCTTGCAGGCAGGAGAAGCAGCTAAAGAACCAGAACTCAGAAAAACGCGGCATCAGGACAGTACCGGAGATCCGGGTAGCAGAAGCATGGAGCAGGCTCGTCTATAGTTTCACCCTGGAATCATGAACTCAAATCACTCTCAGAGAGAACCATTCGGGTGAAACCGGGTAGGGGGAGAGCGGCATGGAAGACATCGGCCTGTGGACCTGCCTGCAGCTATCCACAGGTCAGAGCACAAGATTTACACACGGAAAATCGCGGTGGAATTAAATGGTGGAAAAGAGAAATCCAAGGCGCTGAAAGCCAGCTGTGATTTATTAAATAATATCGACTATAATCAAACAGAATTACTTATTCAGAAATTGTAGTAACCTAGGCGGTGTGGCTGTGACTTCTGATAATTCCACGAAAGCAGGAGAGTTTGGTAACTGCTGTGCTGTGAGACTGAACACGCACCACTCCTCAGCACCCTGCTCTTACGGTTAGGCCTTTCAGCCTTTTAGGAGGCTACACAAGTTTATTATTTGATGGTCTCTCTTTGGCCACCTTTCAGCTCTCCTTTTGTGGATGCTTAAAGCTCAAACATGGGCATTTCTGGGTCAGACTGGGTTGCTGGAAGCGTGCTCTGTAGTTAACAGCTATCGCCCGAGCTCGGGAATTGCAGGTCAGCCTTGGTAACATAAGATCTTGTCTCAAAACAATTCTTTGGGGGTGGGGTGGAGCTCAATCAAAAAAAAATTTTGGGGGGGAAGTGGTGGGGATTGAACCCAACAACTCAGGCATCCTACCACTGAGCTACACCCAGCCCTCGAGATGTGTTTTCTTAAAACACATCTGGAGGGGGAGAAAACTCTGTTGAGTTACACTAGGTTACTAGCACATTTTAAGAGATGAACATCTTTCACAGTTCTGTGGTCCTGGTTAACACCAGTTTTGTTACTCAAGCAGTAAAATTTCACATCTGGTGTTTTCTACCTCCCCAGCAGCGATAGAAACTCATGCATGTGCAAGGCCTGGGCTGATCCTCGGCCATGAAGAGAAATGAATGGCATTTTGCTGCTACCGTGCATTAAACTTCGAGCACAAAGCTTTTCATGGACACTGACTGTAGATAATAGGTAGGCATCTAGATTTGAGGATGACCTCTCCTTTTCTTAAGAAACTAGTCTTCACTTTTTGTTGAGGAAAGGCCCCCAGGAGCACCGTCCTATGTGTAATGGGAATATTGCTGTTTTTAGCAGGAAACAGAACAAAGCCTGCCTGCACCTGGAGCGTGTCCAGATGAATTTCAGAAGCTCTCTGGGGACATCATAGACCAAACAGCTGTGGTGGACGTGAGAGTCCGGAGTCCGCCCCGAGCCAGCACTTTACGTGCCTGACTGGTCTGCACCCGGCTCCCTGGCAGCAATAGTCTCAAAATCCGGCTTACTACAGATTTGGTCTGGCAGATAAAGCTGGAGAATTATACAAAGTCATTGTGTTAGAAAAATAAAATAAAAAATTTCAAAGTGGCTCTTAAAGTTAAAATTATAAAATTCAGATGTTTAAAAAATTTTATTAACCCCTTCCAGGAAAATCAAGAAGCAACCAAATAAAAAAAGCAACAACAGCAAAATGACAGCAGTAACAACAAAAGTAAATAGCGCTGTAGGATCTCAAAGCAAAAAGGTAGGAATTTAATAACGGTTGTTATACTGCATACTGCTGGCTTCCAAATAGTTGCTCAGGCTACCAGATACAGACATGCGGAATTGATCGAGCAATATAATTTCCCTTTGAGCAGTTTCTTCCCCTTTTAAATGCAGACTTTTAAAGCAAAAAAAAAAAAAATTACAAACTAGAAGCATTCAGGCAAAAAAAATTAATAGGGAAACTTTGTTTTCTTTTTTAAATACTTAAAAGATAAATATGATAATTTTCATATTACCTTATCTTCCCTACCTCATTTCTTGTTATGAATTACAATAAAACCATTAAGTAAATTGTCATAAGATTATGGCAAGCAGAAAAAAGAAAGCAGAATTGCAAATGTCAGTGTTTCTCAAATTTGGGGTCTTGATTCTTCAAGGGTTCATAAATTCTCTAACAAGAATATATTACAGTTGTGCTTTCTCCCTGATGTAAAGTATACACCAGTGGATAGGTAGAATTTTAGGTGGTGGACGTACAGGTAGGTGTTTCTTTACATTTTTCTGTATGTCTGAAAATTTTCCTAATACAATGATGGACACAATTATTATAGGCAATCAATACAGGTTTACAAATTCAGACTTGAATACAATCTCAAATCCAAACAGAGCAATACGAGGTATAAGAGAAAACAAAACAGACATAGCCTGCGCCAGAAATCAGGTACAAGTCTCTGTGGATTAGAAATGGATGACTGTGTGAAGGGCCCTGGAGTCCTGGACCTCTGCCCGGTTTGTGGTTAAGGGGACTAAGCCGGGACCAAAGCAAGGCTCACTCTTTGAAGACAGAGCTAGGGTGAGGCTCTTTTGCTAATGAAAAGAAGTGGGGAAAAAACCCCCAAAACTAAACTGTGGTTGTTTAGGCCCTGAGATTTTAGTGTTTTGCAAGCTTCAGCCTTAGGTAGGGCCGTGGTGGTGGGTTTGAGACCTGCTCAGAGGATGGCCTTGTGCTTGATTTGCAGCCCTGTGTCGTCACCCTGAAATTCTTCTTCATTTATAAACAAGGGGTTTCTGTGTGTCTTCTCAAACGGAACCCTGGAAACTAGGCAGGCATATTCTGGGGCTGGGAGGAAGCGTACCACAAGAAGCCAGTGTGCCTTTCCTGTAAGTCGTGCAAGGCATGCAGGGCCCAGGAAGGGCGCAGCTGGTTTGCCTTTCCTGTGAGCTGAGAATCAAGAACATGTAAGCAACCAGCTGATCTAGAGGACAGGATGGGCTGATAGCAACTGAGGTACAAAAACAACTAAATGCCTGTATGCTTGATTGACTTTGCAGGCCTAAGGCCCATATCTCAACAGCCATTAGGAGGATAACAGTATGCAATATAGCAAATATGGGGGATTTCCTCCTGTTTTGTTTTTGAAATCCAGCATTGTACTCACTGTTTTGTTCAGATTGATTGTTTTGTTTTAATGATTGGTTTTATTCTATTTTGTTTTATTTGACTTTACTACGTTTCATGGCATGCACAACTACTGGGAAGATAACATATTATGGTAGCCATTGTAGATCTCCCATTTTCCTGTTTTGAAGTTCTGTACTATTTTCACCGTGTTTTTTTTTTTTTTTTTTTGGATTGGTTTTATTCTGTTTTACTTTGTTGTGTTTTATTCTCTTTAAAATAAAATTTTAAAAAAATTGAAAAAAATAGGTAGCCAGTCCTGTAAGTGGCCTAGAAATAGATCCAAGGTCCCCTTCCTTGTTTTGAAAGAATAGGGATGATGCAGTGAAACTGGTACTGAATGGCGATGAAAATACTGCACATAAATGCAGAACGATCCAGGCAAAGAATGAGGATGACTAAAAACAGAGTTCGCCGTGGGACTCAAAAGCTAGTACAGGAATAAAAGAGGACACTGAAAAATAAGACCAGGAATTTGCAAAATAAGAAGGAAACTTCTATAAAAGTTTAAAGGGCCAAATTTTATAAATAAATAATACATAAAATATAAATTAGTGAATAAAGAAAAATGAAGCCGCTTAAAAGTTCTTTTCTGAAAATCATGTTAAAATCAGCAATACTGATTAAGACTGTAACAAAAAGAAATTTAGAAATAAGATTAGGGACAAACAGGAGACCTGACTGCTGAGCGATTAAGAGGTTTAGAAAGCGAATACTATGTCTCACTTTATGTCAAAAGGTTTTTAAAAAGTTAATTAAATGAAATTGATAATTTTCTAGAAAACTTTATCAACTCTAACTCAAGAATAAAACAAATAAGTTAGTAACTATTAAAGATGTTGAGTTAGTAATCAACTGTTTCCATCTGCTCAGAAACGCTACATCCTAATGGTTTTATAAGTAAATTCTAATAAACACCCAGGATGATTTTATAGCCATGTGCCAAACGGAGATGTTTTTATTAATGGACCACATACAACATGAACTACTCTGTTTTTATAAGATGCTATTGCTTAGTGAAGTCTTAGCTATCATAGTTTGCTATCATACAGTAAATATAGGTCTATGATGTTTGCACAATCACCAAAGGATGCATTTCTTAGAACATATAAATTTTTTATATAAATTATTGCAAAGAATAGAAAATAAAAGCAGGAGAGGAACTTCTAACTTCAGCAAACATAGTAGACTATGAAGTAGACTAACAATGACACAACAATTCTAAGCAAATAAAAACCAGAATTCTTTTTTTTTATCAGTACCAGGGATCGAACTCACGACTGTCTGCTTGCAAGGCAGGCGCTTATGCCGCTGAGCTAAATCCCCAGCCCCCCAAACCAGAATTCTTTGCAGGTCAGATTCTGCATGTATGAATAGAAATACAACATGACCCAAAGGGTTTATCCTAGGACTTAAAGGACAGCTTCAAGCCAGGTGTGGTGGCACAAACCTGTAACCCAGCATTCTGGGAGGGTCAGGCAAGAGGTTTGAGCCCAACCTAGGAAACTTAGACATAGTGAGACCTTGTCTCAAAATAAAAAATAAACAAAAGGTTGAGGAGGTAGCTTAGTGTCAACACCCTGGATTTGAACCTCTGTAACCCACTGAAAAAGAATTGCTTGATGTTAGAAAAATCTTATTTTTATTTTGCTTTTTTTTTTTTTTTTTTGGTACTGGGGATTGAACTCATAACCTTGCACTTGCTTGGTGAATTAAATTCCCAGCCCTCAAATTTTATTTTTATATAAAGCATTAACTGATTACAGGAGAACCACATGATTTTCTCAAAAGAGACAGAAAATGCAGTCAGCTAAATATAAAACTCACTAATAATTAAGTTAGGATTAGAAGAGAATAATTTTCATTTAATAAAGGCTGCATATTAAAAAATCCATCAGATGTCACACTGGTAAAGTTTTCAAAACATTTCATCAAATTTGGGGAAATATTATCCTGGAGGCTCTATCCAATGTAATAAGGCAAGAAAAAAATAGTATAAAAGCTAAAAATGAGACAAAACTGTCTTTGTTTGCTAATGATATGATGATTTACATTTAAAAAATCTAAGATAACCTATAAACTATTGGATTAGGCAACAATTTCAGCAAGGTTCCTGGATACAGTATCATTTATAATATTTAGAATTCTCAGTGGCAATAAAAATCTAAAAGGTACTCAGGAGTAAATTTAATAAAGTTAGTAAATGCAATTTAGTAGATTTAATAAGCTTAACAAGTGGCACATGTAAAACCTTTCTGTAGGAAAGTGACAAAATATTACTAAAAGGACTTGAAGAGGAATACATAGGTGCAGCATGTTTGGAATTACTCAACATTATAAGGAGATTGCATTTTCACGGTAACCTGTGAAGTCAGCAATCAACAGAGCTTTTTCTGGAACTTAATGAGCTGAATCTAACTGGCACCTGAAATAAGGAAAAGCCAGGAGCTGAGATAATTTCAAGGAAGAAGGAGGAAAGGGACAGGCTTGCAGTGTCAGGCGCGGGCTCACTGCCGCACTGAGACAAGCCATGGTGGTGCGGACAGATGCAGATCCACACACAGGCGGAAGCTCGACAGAAGACAGTCTGTGTTAGGAACACCGGCCCCAGCTGCTGACCCCCATGGCCCTGTCAGTCCCTGTCTCGATTCCCCGCAGCGCCCTCCACACTCATTTTCTAACCCACGTTGCTTCACTTTTGCTCGGAAAAACCTTAACTAGATTAAATTCAACCTTTAGGCTTTTGCCTGCGTTCAGGGTGTGGAATGTGACAAATGAAAACACAGGACCAATGTGACTGGTGTTATTTTTTAAATACGATGCATCTGCTCTAAAATCCCCAGTAGCTTCTGAGTTACTTCAGGTGAAATGCACAGTTCTTTCAGGGCCTCTGTGCCCTCCATTTTATCTCCTTTATACTCTCCTGCCTCCCTCTGCTCCAGCCACCTGACCTTCCTGCTGTTTCCTGACTAATCCAGTCCTTCTACCCCAGGGCCTTTGCACTTGCTATATCTTCAGTCTAAATGCTCTTGCCCGTTACCTGTGTGACTCACTCCCTTACCTTCTTCAGGTTTGTTTTCCCCTCAAATGTCACCTTTCACAGGACTCACATTGGTCCCTTTATTGAAAGTATAACCCTCCCAAGCACTTCTTATCCTCCAGCCTTGCTGTGTTTGCTATTTATTTATTATTACTGTTCTCCCTTTACTAGTATTCAAGTGTTGTCTGCTTTGTTCACTTACTATATTCACAGCACTGCCACATGATAGGCACTCAATAAACATTTGCTGGGGTCAGGTACTGTGGTGCATGCCTGTCACTCCAGCTACTTAGGAGGCTGAGGCAGAAGGATCACAGAGGCCAGCTTGCGTCACTCAGCAGCAAGAAAGACCCTGTCTCAAAATATAAGATGCAAACAGCTGGGAATGTAGCTCAGTGCCCTTGGGTTCAATCCTCAGTACTGAAAGAATATTGATGAATGGATCAATTAATGAGTTTAAAAAGAAATCCTACAAATTAGTAAGTAATTACAGGTAGAAAATTCACAGAAAAGCAAACCTGAAAGGTTAAGAATTAAAGATTTTTGTCTTTTTCATTTTTTATCGTACCAGGGATCGAACTCACGACCGCACACTTGCAAGGCAGGCGCTTATGCCACTGAGCTAAATCCCCAAAAACAAAAGACAAAAAAAAAAAAAAAAAAAAGAAAAAAAAAAGATTATCTACCTATCTACGTCTCTATCGATATCTACCAGTCATCTAGCTGTGCGGGGACTGAACTCAGGGTCTTCACGCTGAGCTACATGCTATCCTTCCCTGTTTTTCATTTTGAAACGTGATCTTGCCTAGTTGCTAAATTGTCCGTGTTGGGCTAAAACTTGTGATTCTCCTGCCTCAGCCTCCTGGAGTGCTGGGGGTTACAGGCATGCACCCCATGCCTGACTCAGTTAGCTCTGTACAACAGTAGGTTTTAGAGAGAGAAATCCATCAAACTCTTAGCAGTAGGCTTAATGAGATTTGAGGTCACTCTTTCTTTCTCTTTTCTGAAATTTTCTACCTATAACCTCAGTTAACAGAAAACAAACAAAAGTTGAATAGTCCTCTGCTATATGTTTGTTTCATGCGTGCTGGGCCATTACTTTATTAGAGCTCCCCCGCGGGACCCAGAAGCTGCCCCTGGCTCACTCTCACCGCGCAGACTCGACATGTGAGCCCAGTTATCTCTCTCACCTGAGTGCCGCAGGGCAGAAAACCCCTGCTCGTCCTCCCAGGCCCACTCGGACTCGCTCTTGTTGTGTGCGGGACTGAAGTCAGGAATTTCATGATGCCAGTCTAGGTCCGTGTGGCTGGTAAAACAAAACAAATTATTCAGGAATCTTTTAGAACTTCAGTAGAAACCAATGTATCCCTAGAGACTCGAACCTTATCCTCTGCCTTCCCGTCCTGTCGCTCTGCAGAATGCAGTAATGTGTTAAGAAAGTTATTTTTGAAGGATTGTTTATTTTGCAGAACGAGCTAGATCGCCTCCAGAAACCTGCGAGGACAAATGACTGGAGTCTGCAATTTGATATAACTTCTGCGAAGGCTGTGCAAATATATCTCTGCTCTGCTAATGCCCTGCAGGATCTTCCAAATCCCTGCAGACCTTCGAAAGACTCCAAAGTACACGTAGATGGGCAAAGGGGCCGGCCGCTCACCTGCTGATGCAGTCTCCCGTGAGCGGGTCGCAGCTCCCCGCACAGTCGCAAGGCCTGCAGCCGTAGTCTCCGAAGCCCCAGTACCCCACCATACACCGGTCGCAGTGTGGCCCTGCCACGCCAGGCTTGCAAGGGCAGTCACCATTGCTGGGGTCACAGAAGATCACTGAGCTGAAAGGAAGGACAGCTGATCCGACGGGATGGCAGGAACAGACTGCAAAGAGGACAGAGGAGGCCTGGTGACTGAGGGTGTCTGCCCGGAGGGAGGCCCCGCTGTCCCACAGAGGCTTCCCTTCTCCACCAGCGAGTGTCTGAGTACTCCAGCAGCCAGCTGGGCGAGGCTCAGACAATGAAAGCTGATTAAATTGCAGATAAGCCAGATGTCATCAGCACAGCGAGGCTGCTGTGAAAAGAAGCTCATCATTTATTCTAAAATTGAGGGCATTACACATGAACGCCTTCTGGTTACGATAATGAAGATGAGCCAGCAAAAAAATCAGAGAAGGAACATTCTGTGAGAGGGAAAAATATGAGCCTTTGTTCTGGTTTAGAGCTGAATGTCTCCCAAAACTTCATGCTTTGGGGAGGTGTGATGCTCACAGTGGGTGAGTCCGCTGGTGAGTTTATAGCTAAACGTAATGTTGGGAGGTGAAGCCAGGTGGGAGCAGGGATCACTAGGGCATGGGCTGGCGGGCCAGGGGCTGCCAGGGCCCACCCCATTGCTTTCAGCTGCCTGCCACCATGCCATGGACTGTTTCCCCTCTGCCAAGGTGCCCACCTTGGTGCCAGCCGGTGACACACTGAAACCTTTACAGACTGTGAGCCGCAATAAACCTCTCCTCCTTTAAATTGTGGGTGTTGGGTGTTATGTCTCAGTGACGAGAAAGGGACTAAGTGTATGCTGGGGGAGAAGCCAAACCAAGAGAGTTTTAAGGAAGAGAGCGACATCGAATGTTGATGGAGCAGAGGAGACCAGATCAGGGAGGGAAACGGATTCCGACAGCGACCTGTGAACAGTGCTGGTATAACGGTGAGCGGGGAATGCAGTGGAAGAGGACTCGGGAGAGGCTGGAGTGGAGGATGTGAGTGTGGAACAGATGCCTCTTCAGGCCCAGAAGTAAGGGGGGATCTAAACCGGGGATGGGAACTCAAGCGGAGGTTTGTGTTTTTCTTTGTTGTAAGAGGAGAGACTGTGGGGTACATTTGATGTTATTTGTTGATGGGAATGATCTGGCAGCAAGGGAAGAGCCGATGAGCAAAAGAGAGGCTAGAGAATTGTTGGGTAGGTGCTTGGGTACACGAACAGGGAAGCGGGGGGCAGCGATGGACAAGAGGCGTGAATGTTAGGGAGCAGCACGGTCAGGACGGGAGGCCCCGCGTGTGCACACAGACAGACCCACTGGCGGGAGTGGGTGGGCTTTTTCTTCTGCTTGTATTTTGTGGATAAAACAGAAAGCAAGGTTGGGGGCTGGGGGTTTAGCTCAGCGGCATAAGCACCTGCCTTGTAAGCAGGCAGTCGTAAGTTCGATCCCTGGTACCGATAAAAAAAAAAAAGAAGAAGAAGAAAGCAAGGTCATCGTGATGAGAGAGACGATGGGAGGCAGAAGCAGGAGACTGAATAAGACATTCAGGAAGTGAGGCGTAATTCACTGCCAGGCAGCATGGAAGCCACATTGGGGGTCAGTGGCCATGAATTTACAGTGTCACTAGATAAACAGCTTGTCATCTCCAGCTTCCTATAATGGAGAAAATTCAGGTTCAGTACAGAGGCAAACTGGGTTTAACCTGGGGGGGATTAAGTCCAGCTTCTTGGACTAGAAGCTCTGCTGGGCCATTTCTGCACATCTTCTCCCTCGTCCTGTTCACGGTTTGAGGGTCCAAAGCGCTTTGTGTACTCCCTGGGTAACAGGATGGCTGAAGAGTGTGTGTGTGTGTGTGTGTGTGTGTGTGTGTGCGTGTGTGTGTGTGTGTGTGTGTGTGGCTTACTGGGTTCATCATAAACTCCTGTACCTTAACATCAGTTGGATCCCGCCTACTCTGTTCCATTTACCCGAGTCTTCCTCACTGTGGCTACCCTGCGTGTTCATTCTAACCACTTTGTTGGATTTTCAGATTTGCTGGGAAGTTTTCTGGGTAATTCACAATCTCTTTATTTTCATCTTTCCATCACTTCCTCCAAGAATCAGACGAGAGCAGCTGGCAGAGGTCATGGCTAATACCCTTGCTTCCCACCAGCCCTGTGATCCGGGGCAGGAAACGTAATTTTCCTGAACCTTGATTTCTTCCACTGTGATATCTACCGCTATGAAGGGACAAACAGAAGTTGAGGAAGATTTTAGGGTTTCCAGTTTGGGAAAATGACTAGTGACATGATTTACAAAGATTTTGAATGTGGGCTAGGGAAGGTTGGTGTAGACAGAACCAAGTTCAATATTATTAAGTTATAGCAGGTAACTGCAAATCATCTGAAGCTTAGCAGAAAACCTGATGGGCGTGGAAATAGTTTGAAGAGTTGCCAGCTGGTGACAGGAGAAGGTGAAAGGGTAGCTGAGACTTTCCGGGGACAGACAAGCAAGAATCGAACGCTGGAGGACACACACATGGTACAGCAGTTGCAGGGTTAATAACTTAGGGAACAGATGGTTAAAGACTAGCAGGACAGAAGGACACAAGTCAAGAAAGCATTGTTATGGTGGCTAAAGATGAGAAAGTCTCAAGAGGTTAACTGGGCCCAACGCTGCAGAATGCTCAAGTCACCTGAGAAGGACAGCAGAGCAGTCAGAGGGTCCACCAGGAGGTCACTGGTGACCGCTCCAAGAACAGGAGCTGGAGAAGAACAGGCGTGGACGGCTTCTGCTCTGTCCAGGGCTCTCTCTCACGTTCAGTCATAGGGCAGTGGTTCTGAAACCGGCGCGGTTGTATGACGTTTGCAAATCCCTTACTCTGGCTCACCTGCCGTTCCCCCTGCTGCGTGCACTCTTCATGCTGAGGATTTACTACAGCCGAGCACAGAATGCGCCCTTTCTGCCAAGGATATGAGTTATCTTAGGAAGGCCCTCAGTGTTCATTTATTTATTCATTCGCTCGGCTGGCTAATGCTGGTTGATAACAATTCTTTTTTTTTTTTTTTTCTTTGAGACATGGTCTCACTATTTAGGTCCAGCTGGCCTCGAGCTCATTTTGGAGCCCAGGTTGGTCTCGAACTTACAACGACCCTCATGCCTCAGCCTCCCGGGTTTTGGGATTACAGGTTTACGCCACCACGCCAGGCTCTGATAACAATTCTAATGTTTATCAAGCATCTGCAGTTTATAACACACAGTTCCACCCAGCCAGACATTTCAGGTCCTTTCTATGCGGCGCTAGCCTGCATTCCTCGTGTAGCCTTCTGTGACTCTGTAGCACGCTTTGTTATTTTAATCAAACAGTGCAGCTCCTGGAGGCGCCCATGTCTTTCCTGTTTCTGTGCCTTTGTTAACTTCTAGAAGGGAAGTCTTCTCTCAAACCTGTCTTTCAAAACTCTACACACCTTCCAGATCTATCTCAGCCATCCCGCCTTTGTGTTACCCCGGGTCCATCCTTCGGCGGGGCAGTGCTCCCCGTGGGCGCTCTGCTGCTGGCTTTCTTTAGAAACTTTTGAAACTGAAATAAAATGACATTCAGAAGAGAGAAGTGCAGCACCCTCCTTCCCGCCACCCACCGCCAGGGCGGCTGCTCCAGGTGCCCACTGCAGGGACAGATTTGCCTTCTTTTAGAAGTTATTCCTTATACCAGTTAAATATAATTTATCCTTTCCCTGAAATCCTCCAATGCTTAAAAAACAAGATTTCTTCTTATATCTCTGGCCACGTTTTGTTCCCCATTAGAACTTAGGATTTTTTTTGTACTAGGACTTTAACTCAGGACCTTGTGCTTGCCAGGCAGGTGCTTATGCCAGGGAGCTCCATCCCCTGCTAGTCCCATTAGAAACGAGGGTTCTGCAAGGGGCCTGCTCACCTAACCCTCCGCGTGCCTACCTTCCACCTTCCTCGGCGGCACGTTTTTGTTTTACAAGGTTGCTGAGAATGAAATGGAGAGATAATGTCTGTCTCTAGCATTTAATAAGCAATTGGCCAGTGGGAGAGTAGAGATTCTCAAAAAATAACTGCTACATTGAATTAAAAGGCAATAAAAATTCTTACAATGGATGAAAACATAAAGGAAAGGAAAACATAAAAATTGTTTGAAAAAGTGTGTGGAAGGCAGTGTTTGTGTCCATGCGCTTATCCAACAAGCATTTAACGAGCAGCTGTTCTTAGGGCTAAGTAAGGTGCAAACTAAGTAAGATAGTCTCAGTTCTGAAAGAGAGCCATAGTTTAGAACAATTATTTCATCTTTTAAAAAAGATCTAATGCAAGGAGAAAACTAAAGATATTGCTTCTACAATGTTTTACTTTTAGGAGAACAGCTTCATTTAAATTCACACAATTAGCTGAGTGTGGTGGTGCACACCTGTAATCTCAGTATTTGGGAAGCTGAGGCAGGAGGATTGAAAGGAGTTCGAGGTCAGCCTGGGCTATGTAATGAGTTCAAGCCCTGCCTGAACTGCACAGCAAGACCTTATCTCAAAAAAAAAAAAAAAAAAGTCACACAGTTACGATGTTGTTTTTAAATGAAATTTCCTATTTTTTTTTTCAGTGAGGGTTCATGACAAAAACAGGCATTTTCTCTTAATGTACTCTGACACCTTAAGGTTAGTGGTGTCTCATCTGAGTATTTGAAGGGGTTATACATGATGCATTATGAATATATCAAAGCATTATATTCAAAGCAGTACAGAGATGACTCTAAGTGAAATCACACACAGAGCCACGAGGAAACCAATGGTTACTACAGGACACAGTGAAGTCATTTGGCTCCTGACAGCAGCGAGGGGCGATTCAGCTAGAAGACAAACCCCCATAACATTCCTGCAACAGGAACATTTCTAACAGTTGAGGTCTCTGCAGGACCTCTCTGCTCTAAACCCACAGACATCTCAGGAGTAGCCAGAGAAGAATGGGATTCCATCACATTTGCTTGGGGCGTGAGTGGAGGATCACCTTAGATTCTTAGTCCACAACTGTATTTCTGATTTCTGTTCCTTCTAAAACAGCCCAAGCGCTTTTTCATAATGAAGGTCAAAGTTATGACCCAGAGTGACCCAAGTCCTTCACTCGAGCTTTGTCTTCTTGT